GATGAGTTTATCTTGAATCTAAAGCCAAAAATAGTTTTTAGATGGTAAAGTATTTTTTGTGGAAAGGGGGAGATACAACGAAGCAATTCGGCTTTCCAATATCTAATAAAGAGTTAGATTACACGACCTGCATACCCATGCTTACAGTACATAGCATTTCTATAAGCAGCATTCCAGATATATGTGTGTATAAGGCTTAATCTCTTCAGTGGTCGGAGATAAAAATATAAGATTTGATGTATTCGTTAAGAAGATGAGGTAAAAAGTGCAGGATATGCAGGAAAGTCTGTACCATAAAATAGCGGTTCTTGGAAAGAGGCTGTCCCAATGGAATTTCCCTTCTTACTGGCTGAATATGAAGGGAATTGGGATAACACGTTCCAGTATACGTGGCATTGTGTGTCTTAGCTCCACCAGTTCAGGCCTTCACAGCTAAAGAATATAACGTGTCTAAAGAATGTAGCTATACTTCTGGCAGAGGTGAACCATGCGACAGCTCCTCGTCGAGAATTTACTTCCTCCCTGCCAGTAAGAAAATTAATCAAGAGAACAAAATTTAACTTAAATAATTTATGGTTTAACTACTGTCTAGTGACGTCACGGTTTCCAATAGCAATGCCGGTTGTAAAACAAGGGAGTTCATTTATATGGTATAATGCTTAGCGAGCTTGTCACGTTAGATCAATTAAGACTGAGTAGTGAGTTCAATCCTCACAGTGTGCTCCATACTTGTGGTCTTGTGCCACACCTAAGCTATGATTAGTAGATCATTATATTATTATAGAGTGATTCGTTGCGCTTTCACGAACTAATGTTCTTGGCTGATATGGAGTGAAAAGATTATATAGAATTCATTTCTAGGTCAGCTGTTTTAAGAATGTTGGCTCCCTGTGTTGTGCTAGACAATTTTTATCTCCTGAATCTATCTTACATATCTATAAGTCTACCATTCGTCCATGCTTCGAATATTTCTGCCGCCTATAGTCCGGTGCTCCTGCTATATATCTACATATCCTTAATAAAACCCAAAGAAGAATCAGCAATATTACTGGTCCTGACCTGGCGTCTCGGCTTCAGTCACTTTACCACCGTCGTAGAGTTGCTCCCCCCCCTGTTCCTCTTCTATAAATCCTTTCATGGTAATTGTTCGGATGAGCTCTTCGGCATGGTTTTAGGTTTCATTTTTTTAAGCGCATTAGAAACTGACGACGAGGTTTCATAAACCAATGAGTTGAGTTGGTTAGAACAGAACCGTACGTTCTATTTTAAAAGTTTCTTTTTCTTTTATTTCTGTTTTGGAAAGAATGTTTTCTGCTCCATCTTTTCAAGTTTATTATTTTCAAAAAAATTTAAAAATGTCAATTTTTATCTACTGACCTGATTTTTTTGTTCTCGATCTTTGTTTTCTAATTATTCCACACTCAGTAACGCCTTGTGTCTTAGTGGCTTTACTGTCTTGCTTGGGGTGAATCCGATTAATTTTTTTTAAAACAAGACTGACCGTTTTGTTGAATAAAGCATAATTTAACGGTTAATGATGATCATGTAATCACACAACGGTAAAAGCACCAGTAAAAAAGACTGTGTAAGTTCTAATCAATAATATGTTTGACTCTAGCAATTTATTAGAAAGTTTTTAAACAGAACGAGCAAGATGATTTGGGCATTTGAGTGTGAAAGAATATGAGAGAAAAAAATAAACATTATTAAAGAGAGAGGACAATAAAAGAACAGAAATTAAGAAGACAGCTGACGACAATTGAATTTTTTTTTTTTTGAAGATCAAATTTGATCGGAAAACAAGAAGTCTGCATAGTGAGAAGTGAGAAGTGCGAGAAAAACTATTAGCATAGAACTTATGGTTGCATCTAGCAATTTCAACTGTAAAATGATGAGGCTTAACGGCCAATCTTCGTCGTCTTCTTTTTCTTCTTCTTCTGTGAGACATTAGCGATCATGGCTCTCAACAATTCCTTATCCTTTGTAGATCTTAGTAAAGATTAGTAAATTTTGTCTTTTTTGCTATCTCCTCTGAACTTTGTTCTGCCATCTATACATTTACACGAGCTCGTTGGGTAGATTATGCGCCGTTTTTCCTTTGTCTCTTGTCTTCAATATGTCCTGTGAGTGTCACATTTTCCAAGCCTTCTTTTCTCATTATATGCCTTAGAAATTTTTAACTCTTTCCGATGTATAAGTATCCTTTTTGTTTCCATTTTCCTTAGCAATTCGTCGTTGCTCACTTGTTCAATCCATGCTATTCTCAGCATCCTTCTGTACAGCCACATTTATATCGCCTCAAGTTTATTCTTCATCTGCGCAGAGATGGTCCAGCATTCATTGTCATATAGGAGGACTGATATTAAATGTCAATCTAGTACTGCACTAAAATTCCTAAAGTCGATGTACTAAAGAGGAAAACTCATCAGAACAAATGCATTTTCCCGTATGATCGCCGAAGTTAAACAACGTCGAACCTGGTGCGTACCTAGATTTGTGGCTGCTTGGGAATACAAGGTTCTGTAAGATTGGGTGTGCAGGTGGTGTAATGGATAATGGTTCAGAATTGTTGATCGGAGAGCCGAGTTCCAATTCCCGTTGGGTTGGTTATATTAACTTTGACGCAAATACCCTTGGGAAAGGTATGAATCCACCTCTCTTCCCACAGCTATTGGTTATATAATTAAACTTGTATCACTAAATCATTATTATCCGCCCCCACCCCCCAAAAAAACAATACTTACAATCTAAAACTGTTTCCCGGCTTTAAATAACCCTGCAAAAGGCTTGATAAGCCATAGAAAACGAATCAAACCAGAACAAATATCAAAAAAAAAAAAAAAAAATTACAGAAAAGGTACACAGAATCTACGTTACGGTGATGGAAAAGTGGTACTTATTTTTGTAAAGTTATAGAAAGTGTGGCACAAGGCCAAAACAAGGAAGTGTGAACGTGACTGAACTTAGAATCAACAACAGTTTCATGGATGAAGTTAACCAGTTACAAGGGTCAAAAATGCATAGTCTACGATCAGGATTGATCAACAGTGACGTCGTTATGCGATACTGTATTTAACCAAAATGTATGAGAGAAATTTTGTGGTGGTTCATTCTCTTTTCTCTATGGTACCTAATTAATGAATTTAAGCGAAGTACTAGATTAGCAACAAGTTCTCATCATTTTACAGTTGAATTGATGGAACCGTAAGTCCTATGCCAACAGTTTCTTCTATTACATTTCTCACTTCTGACTTCTTGCTTTCCAACCAATTTTGATCTTCAAAAATTTAAATGAAATGTAAATCATTATCTTCTTTCTTCGGGATTCTTCTATTATTGTTCTCTCTCCTTAATGTTTTTCTTTTTTTTAATTTTTTCACACTTGTATCTTAGGGGCTTTACTGGCTTGCTTGGGGTGAAATGATTTTTAAAAAAGCCTCTTCGATTGAATGCGATATTAATAATTCAGTTGCACGATTTTTTCGGACATTTATATACTTCTTTCTTGTGTTTACAACATAATTTCGGTCAATATTTTCTTCCGCTTTACCCGTGTGTATACTGTCTTCTATAGTTTTATACTGTTTCAGTTATTCATGTATTTCACGATTTTCACTTCCTCACTGGAAATAATTCAAAGATCTAATCGCAAGACCGAAATCAGAAAATATTAACCCTGGAAAAGAATTTCAATGCTTTCAATGAAATCTGAAAACACTTTAAATAACCTACGAAAGGTTGATAAACCGTAAAAAACAAATCAATATAATAAAATAAGAACAGCGACAAAGAAGGATGGTAAAGATTTAAAAAATTACATAGCGCAACAAAAACAAGAAAATGTGGAGAGCCATGATCGCCCACATCTTGAAAGAAACTTGTTACATAAAAGAAGTAATTATGGAGAAAACATTGATCTGACTTGCTGTAAATAATGTGAAAGATAGACATTATTATGATACCACAAGGATTTCCAAGAGAAACAAGGTCATGAAACAACCCCAAAGCGCGCGAATGCGCTATTTTAAATGGCTCATAAAACCTTGTTTTTTCTCAATTGTCGGAAGGTGTTGATGAATGTACTTACCGATTCCGATTATCATAAAGAAAAGTCACCATAGCCTAAACATATTTCGTCCTGTTGACGACCAGACATTAAAAACAGACTTACAATATTAAGGCTTACAATCCACAGTCTTAACGATTGTCATCGATCGGCAATCAATAATAAAACCAAAAATAGAAATGTCAGCATTGATCACTGCTATGAGCGGGCAGTTTAACAGTTTTCGGCGCGGAAAGTGGAACCGGCGAACCGAGTTCAAATTTCGGTTTAGTCTCTTGCATTCACTTTCGCACAAATAGGAAAGACCTGGAGCCATCCCCCCCCCACTAACAGCTATATGCAAAAAGCTGAGTAGACTTTCCTTTCTAAACTTGGATGGGAGCAAATCTAAGAAAAGTAAACCTCCGAATTCGAAACTACGAAGAAAGAAACGGAAGATCCCTTATCCATTATCTTTCCAAGAAATAGCAATTCACAGATGATAAAGAATGAGAACTATTTTCACCTGCGTCATTGGTTGGTGACTCTGTGATCTCCGAATTTCTACGGGGGTCACTGATTTTTGATAAAGCTGAAGCACAACCGATTGATATAAGGCACAAAAACATGAATATAAATTATATTAAATGATAGAATAATCTTAATTTTTGTTAAGGAATCTCAAATAATACAATTAGAATTGTCCTCTTCACAGTACATGGATCCTGCTGGTGGCTATTAACCGCCCGTCCCGTGAACTACCATTGCTCTCGATTGACCTGAAAACAATTTTTTCATTTAAAGGCAACGCCAAGAAGATACAAATTCTAAAGAAACCACCAGCCACCCCCACCGCAATAGCACCCTCCGATTGCGGTTATGTTCCGCATATCAAGCATCAACATTGTGTCCCCCCACCAAAAAAAAAAACAAGTTAGAAGGCATACGAACACATCACATTGAAACACCAGTTTCTGTATGATCACCGAAGTTAAGCAATGTCGAGCCTGGTCAGTACCTAGATGGGTGACCGCTTGGGAATACCAAGTGCTGTAAAGTTGGATTTGTGGGTGATGTAATGGATAATGGCTCGGAATTGTTCCAATTCCAGTTTGGAAAAAAAAGAAATGGTGATTTACATTTTCCAATGAGTCCTGTTTTTAACTAACAAAAAAAAAATTGGGGATTAAAATTTAATTTCTCGAAATTTCATGAAATTAAGTAGGAGGTAACATATGTTAAAAAAAAAAATTACCAAGATTTCTAAAACAAAGAATTTCAAAAGTAATTTCATTAATTTGTGAATAAGTCCTGAAAGTTTCATTAAAATCTGACAATTATTTGATTTCTGCAAGAATTTTCAAATCATTGTGTTTTTCTACGGAAAAAAAAGTCTCGTTATATTCAAATACCCTTGGAAAATATATGAATCCACTCTTCCTCTTCCAGCTATGAGTTAATTAGTAAGATTTGTATCACTAAACCATTAATACTACTATGTTGAAAAAGAAACCTCATTTAGTCACATTCCATAATAGTATCTTGATCAGCCTATGAACTTTTCAGCCAACCCTCGTAACTTTAAGATTAGCAAAACAAACTCTTTCTATCTTCTCACCATTGTCGTTCGTTTGGCCCTGGGACAAAATAAGATTAGTAAATATCAACAATAAAGGAAGACAATTAGAATGCAATAAATCAGTAAAACCAGTAAAAAACGTGAGTCATAATAATTGTACCCATTTCCTCTTTGTAATAAATAGTCTTTGGATTTGAAACTACTGCGCCAATCTGTGACGTTTGTAATCAGATAATACCTGATAATTCATTTGCCAAGATGAAACAGTCTTAAACGCCTTTTTCTTTTGTGAATATGATAACAAGTCAGAACAAATATCAGTGACACTGAGAAATTTGAATTATAGGCAGTAAAAAGCCTATGATTCAAATTCAATGTATAGTCATTGAACCAACAACACAGATTATAAACAAGAATCGACGCGATTTCTTGGATATTTTCTAAGGTTATTTTAGCATAGCAAAAAGACACATTTTATTAAGAATCATATAAAATTCGAAAACACTTTACTGTTAAATTGTTCTATAAGGCTAGCTTAGCAACCTCCACTCTCTGCCAAGTGGCTACGTAATTTCTAAGCATAGCTCAGTATAGCAAGGCAACAGTATAACGAGAAATTGTGTGATGTTCGAATACGTTCCACTCGTGAACTGGTCCAGAGAGAGAGAGATTAGATAACGGTCACTCTACGTCAGGAATCCTAATTTATGGGATTATTCAGTATCTGAATATCTCGATTGGAGTGATGGTTACGTAAACTTTGGCGATCTGCCGAAAAGTTCTCAGGCCAACTTATATAACAAAATTTGACCAAACATCAAATTTTATTTAAAGACTTCTTGGTCGTGCCAAGAACAGGTCTAACAACCCCTCGTAGACACGCATTGTCATAAATTCGATCCTCATGAAGTGCCCTATTCTTGTCGTCTTGTCTCAGACTAAGGTAAAGTTAATAAATACCTGTGCACCTGAGATTGAGTGATGGTTGGCAAGGTATACTCTCTGACCTACAGCAACTCAAAATGTGGTACGGGTACCTGTTCTGTGAAGCGAACTATCGGCTGACAGTAAAAGTTGAAAGATGATTTTTGAAAGTATGTTTCTTTGTTCTTTTTGGCTAAAATGAAAAGCAGAATATTCCGGGGTCACTGAAATTGCTTTGAAATCTCTTTCTATCATTCCCTTCAACATACCTCTTCAAGTTTGGCTTTTCAACTATGAGTGTCATTAAGACAAAAAAAATACAATGGCCATCCATTGTAGAACTACAATGGCTATCCATTCTCATTTGCATCTGACATTGTCTTCGACAGAACCCAAATTCCATGACAAAGTATCAGTTTCTTCTTGCACTTTGATTTAAGCTATCTTCCTTTATGCACCATGTCTCTTCAGGACGTGGGTGATCATGACTCCCACAAACCTCCTCATTCTTCGTGTTCTAAATATTTTGTAACCCTACCACCTCTCTTTGTACTTTCACACACTTTTCCGCTGTTTCTCTTGCTTATCTTGCTTTCAATATGTCTTATGAGTATCAAATTCTCTAGGTCTTCTTTCCTCATAAAGTGTTCCAGAATTTTAAGCTGTCTCTGATTACAAGTATCAACTTCTTAGTAGTTTCTATTTCCCTTAAAACTTCCTCATTGCTCACATGTTCTGTCCATATATATTCTTAACTTTCTTCGGTAGAACCACATCTCTATCGTTTCAAGTCTCTTCTTCATCTGTGAGAAGATTGTTCAGAATTCACTCCTATATATGAGAATATATATTTCATAGCAGTTCAACACTTTCTTTTTTAAGAACATTTTCCTATATCTTAATACTTTGCTTTCTTTCTGAAATGTATCTTTCACCTTCGAGTTTCTGTGTCACGTTTTCTGTCGTCTGTTACTACAATCTCCAGATAGATAAATTACTGTCCTTGTTTGATTTTAACGTCCCCAATATATATATCTCATTCCTTAGGCTATCTTTTTGCTGAAAACTATGTATCCTGTCTTAGTTAGTCCTTTCTTCTTGCTTCCTTTTACTATTTTGTCTAAAGGTCCTTACTATTTTCTTCCTGAGTCTGCTATTACTTATTATAATTTGTCGTTTTATTACTTATTAACATGTTTTTAATATTTTTGATAGGTTTGCTTATTTTTACTATTTTAAAAAAATTATTTTGTGTTACGTGTTTACAAAATAAATAAAAAATGTTAAAAATGATTAACTTTTAATATATTCATTATATTTTCTCATTAAAAACGGACATGTACGGTCTTGTACGGCCTTGAACACGGTGAAGATCATTGTAAAAAAGAATGATTCAATTAATATTAGACTGATCATGACGTGATAAACTGATGTTACAAGCCCCTAAATTGTTCCATTATTCCTTGGTTTCCCGATTTTGTGGTCTTGTGTCAGGCTATTAAGCTATCTCATATGTAAAATAGTCTTCTATTCGAACTTGAAATTCACAAATATTGTCATAGCTTAAATAGACTTGCCTCAGACGATCGCTGTATCAAATTATTTAAAATTATCTTTGTACATGCTAACCAGTCTCGGAGAAAAACTATTCTGACTTCAAAACCGTGGAGAAGGTAAATGGAAACCACTCCAATATCTTTCCCAAGACTTCCTGGCAATTCACAGATTATAATGAAAGCAATCTATAAAGAGCCATGATTGCTTACATGTTCAAGTGATTGATTGGTTGGTTTATTTCAAAGTTAGCAGTATATCAACCTCTATGGGTTATTTCATGCCGAAATCTAAATATTTGGTAAGCAACTTTATGTCTTCAACTACAGATATTTTGTACATAATTTTATACTTTCGGGGTAAACGTATGTTTTTTTTTTAGATATATAGTGTGTAGTTTAACAGAGGGTCGGAAACTATGACACTGGAATCCAAAGGCGTATTTGAATAGCCAAGGAAGCATTCTAAAAGCTAAGCGGGATACTAAGAAAAAAATCGCTAGAAACAAGGAAAAGAGTACTAAATTGCAATGTGATATCTATCCTTCTGTATGGTAGTAAGTACTGGACGATCTCCTGAAAGATGAAGAAGAGACTTGAAGCAACAGAAATGTGGTTCTACAGAAGGATTATGAGGATATCATAGACTGAACATGTGAGCAACAACGAAGTTTTAGAGAAAATGGAAACAAAGAGGAAACTTATTCTTAACATCAGGAAGAGACAGTTGATATTTTTGGGACATATATTGAGGAAGGAGGGTTTAGAGAATGTGATACTCACGTGACAGATTGAAGGCAAGAGGGATAGAGGAAAACAGCGCATAACATACTTAGTGAGCTTAAGTACATGGATGTCGAAATAGGATTTAGGAGAAATAATAAAAAATTAAGAGCTACAAGAACAGGAAGTTGTGGAGAGTTATGATCGACTACGCCCCCCCCCCCAAGGGATACGGCACATAAAAAAGAAGTTTGTAGATGATAAAATGCATTGTTAGTAATTAAAAAATGTATTGCTAGTAATTTCACTACAAAAATGTCTTGTTGGTAATTTTAGTATAGAAATATATTGTTGGTATATATTGTTGGTATTATAAAAATATACTATTGATTTTTGTTTGGGGGTTCACTATTTGCCCATAGATGGGACCCTAACGGGTGCCATCCTTAAGGGATATAGCATTTTAAAAAAGAAAAAAACTTGAGTTCGATCCTCATCAAGTACCCTGTTTGTGTGATCTTTTGAGAAAACTAAATAAAGATTGCAAAAACTTATTCACCTGACACACAATGATGGGTAGTATTAGAGATTCTATAGACCATTCTCTAGTGTAAGGAGTTCGATCCTTTAAAAGAACCCTATTCATAAAACCTTATGCCCAACTAAGTTTCTTTCCAAGAGCCACTACTTTATAGAACAGACTCCCGAGGGGGTGCTTCCTCGAACACTACACTATTAACCTCTTCAAGTAAACATCAAATGTTACTTATCCTACATATCTTCATAATCTTCACTTACTTCCTCCTGCTGTGTGCATATGTCATTTAGCAACCTCCTACATTGAGTGGCTCTTGGGCCTTGTATTGAGTGAACATTTAGTAAAAAAAAAAGTTAAAGTTAGTAAGTACAGGTCCACCTGGCGCTAGGTGTGGGGGTAATATATTTGACTTACTATGCCATTCGCTTCTGAGATCGATCATCGCAGGGGTGCTCACTACTGTAGCCTTGTATCATACTACGCTTAGTGAGTATTTACTGAAAAAGACGGACAATTAATATATCATGAATATGTTTGTTGATTTGATTTTTGTGTAAATTTTGTGCAGTTGGATGACAATGCAAACACACAACAGTTAATTCTGTTTGTACTGTTAGAAATTTATCTAACATAGGTGTCTCCAAAGTGGTGGATATCGACCCCCAGGGATCGATAGAACTATCCAGGGGGTCGATAACTGTTGGGGTCAAAAAACGATTGATAAATAATCGTGGTGAC